GACCAGCGCGCTGGCGCCCACTGCCACCACGGCGGCCGTCATGATGGAACCCAGCATGGCAGCTGGGGGTTGGGGATGAAATTGGGGATGATGGACGTCGGGGTAAGGGAAATGCGTGTGCAACAAAGGGCGTCCGAGTGCGTCCAATCATTGAATGTGTTGCATCGCATTCGTGTAAAGAAAACATGCGAGAAGGTGACGCGGCCCGTCACAGAGTGCAAGTGCATCTGACGCGCGGGACGCGCTCAGCAGCGCGCGACGCGCCGCGCCCCCCGGGCCGCTCCATGAACCGACGCCGCACGCCGCGCATGGCGGCTGCACCCCCTTCCCCCAACACACCTGCATCGAGCACCCAAAACTTTTGGAGGGGCGTGTGCTGCCCGAGCATGAACAGCAGCCCAGACACCACCGCCGACAGCGTGCCCAGCAGCTGTGTCCGCGCGTCGCGCGACGCGCGCGCGGCGCTGATGAGGCCGAGCGTCAGCAGCGCAAAGGCGGAGAGCGCCAAGTGGTAGGCAGCGCTCTCCTGGGGGCCGGGGGTGCCGGATTTCGGGGATATCAGTTTGGCGAGGGACACGAAGGCGCCCGTCAGTAACGTGGCCACCCAGGTGGGACCTGGAGGGGAAGCCGCGGCATTCAGGGCAAAGGGGAGGGGAGGGAGGGGGGGGGAATCGGGGACTGAGCAAGAGAGAGGACGCAGTGGGCAAAAGACGGGGGTGGAGGGAGAGCAGGCCGCGCTCAGAAGCAGCCGCGCGCGGGCCGGGGGCGCCCCCCCGGTTGCCAAAGCGCGGCGCGGCGTGCGGCGCGCGGCGGGCGGGGGCGCGCGTCCGACTGCTGGCCCAAACATTGGCGACGGGCGCCCCATGGGACGGCTGGCTCGCCGCGGCTGCTTTCTCCTTTCCAGCGTGCGCATGAACAGACAGACGTGCGCGGCGACAAGGCTGCCCGTCAAATCAAGAACTTTGACAATGCCTCACCAATGACCATGAAGGTGCCCAGCAGCCTGCTGCCCAGGTGGTTGTCCTGCGCAAACGACAGCAGCAGCACCACCGTGAACACCTGGCGCGGCGGGAGGGCAACACGAATGGACAGGTGATCCTTTTAGAGTGTGTTTTGGATTGTGATTGGACACCTAAGCGCATGCGACACGGGCGGGACGCGGCCGCCGCTGAAAACGGGGTCCTGAGCGCCGCCGGCGGCCAACGGATGGGCCGCGCGTCTGAGCAGCTGCTTAGCTGCCACTGATAGCGACACCTGGCCACCCCCTGAATCGTCCCCTTCCCCCACACCGTAGCCAGGCAGCTCAGCGGGTGGGCGATCGGCCTGCGGCGCGCAGGGGTGCGAGTGGCGAGGGGGTTGCGGCCCCGAGGAAGGGGAGCTGCTGTCGGCCCGGCCCCGCCCCATGCCCGCAGCAAAGGCGCCGGGCGAGCGCGGCCAGCGGTGGTAGTAATGAAGCTGCCGGGTGAGAGCTCATTTGTTCCAGCCTGGCAGCCACCTAATGAAAGTCGCCAAGGAGGACACCAGCACCGCAGCCACCAGCTGCAGGCACGTCTGGAGGCGCGGCCACTGCATGCCTGCACCGGGCTAGGCGGCAGCCGCGCCGCCGCTGGTGCGCGTCGTGCCGTTGATGCAGGTGCTGCTAATGCGTTGGGCCCGCGCGCCGACCACAGTCAAAGTCCCAGCGAATCCTTCAGAGACTCGCTGTAAGAGTTTTTGTTATTTAGACACACCCGATGCGCTTGATAGCGGGTACCAACGAGCTACCGACGAGCGAGTAATCGCTAAATCGCAACGAATGACGACGGATCTGCTGTGTGCGTCAGAAGCGTATATCATACGGCATATGGTATATTGATGCGTTGCATTGCACCATGCGACAGCATTGCTACCGGGAATGGTGGGGAATGTTCGCGGAATGACTCATCGCTTGAGCAGCGCTTGCTGCTGCTAGCACTGGCAGCCGCCAGCCTGTTGGAGCTGACCACACCAGAGTGAGACCAACTGGCAGATATCTTCTGTCCAATCACAACGGACTCATCAGCTGACAAAACGACCACACTCGCCTTTACACGTAGTCGAGAAACCTATCCAGCTGGGTGACACAGGTCCAGCCTTGCCGCCCGCCTGGCATTGAGGTATTGGTGTGTCCAGGTATTTCTTTGTATTGAACACCCCCATTGAATCTGTGCGCGCAGAACTGACCTCCCTAGTTCCAGCTACACTGCTTAGGGGAGGGGGGGGGGCAGAAGCGTGGACCGCGTCTGCATTACACAACAAAACAATCTCAAGTCTTGTTTTGGAGGGATGGAAAAATGCCTACAGCCGGGCGCAGCGCCCCTGGCAGCTGTTCGCGGCCGTCCATCATCCTTGCGGGGAGGAACAGCGTCGAAATGGAGCGCCAGGGGGCTGTGCCAGCCTCGAGCAAGGGGTGGAGTTGATGAGGATTACCACAGCCTGAGGCTCTGCCGCTGGCGTTGAGCACCCGGCCCGCCCGTTGCGACGTCCAACAAGAGGGCTGGGCAGCAAAGGGGGGCTCGGAGAGTCAGGCCGAGGGCGTGCAGGCTGAGCGCGGGTGTTTGTGTTTGCTCTGGGTGGGGAGGAGGCCAGGAGAAGCGTGCCATGCGGCAGGTTCTCCTGGTTGGCGCAGTTTCGCGGGGGCATCGAAAGTATAAGGGCGCGTTGCAGGCCCCAAGTGAGGAGCAGCACACCGAGGGAGAGCCGGAAGATGCAGTTGCTGCGCGGTCAACGGACAGGCGCCCGCACTACCCCAGGCCAGACCACGGCTGCAGCCAGCCGCCCAGCCTTGGTGTGGTGCAGTGCGCGCCGCAGACCAAGGCGCCACCAGCCAGCGCTGCTGCCGCTGGCGGGTGGGGCGGTGCATGCATGCAGTCTCTCTCGTCGCATGCTGGACAACCGACGGCGCAGCACTGCGTGCTGGTGCGCTGTCATGACTCGCACCAGCAAATGCAACAGCGCAGTCGAAATCGCGGCCGGGCCGCCTCCGCACGCGCGTGGGGCCGGGGGGTGTGGGCAATGTGCCGAAGGGCTGCGTCCCGCGCGGCTGCCAGGCGGCGGGCGGCCAAATTAACGCGGCCAACAGACAGTGCTCCGTCAAAAAAGGGTGCATCATGGAGCCACTCTGCCCACACTCCCCTGTGGGTGCGTCCACAGGAGGCGGCAGGGCAAAGCAGCGGCGCAGGGGCCGGCGCGCCACGGCTGCGCGCCGGCCGGCCGGCCCCTGCGCCTGGCGGCGTCCAGCCGCGCTGCAAAACAGACATGCCAAGTGACATCATCGGATGGACACGGGCGCGACGTGCCCCCGGCCTGGCGCGCCCGCTCCCGACCAAAATCGCGGGCGCGCCTCGAGCTGGGGTGCCCCAACCCACCAACGCGGGGGTGGCATTGCTATGTTCAGGAGCCGTGCATTAGAAAAAGACGTGCGCATGCTGGGGGCGGGCGCCGCCTGTTGCGGCAGCAGGGCAGGGCCCGAGGCGCATCAGAAGCCGGGTGCACATAGTATAATGAGACCGAGAGCCAGGAGACAAGTGGTAGAGGAGGTTTTCCATGGGATGCCGACTCACGCACGCCCTGCGGCCGTAACACACCACAACCCATGCCACCCCGCCTCAAGTGCCTACCGCCACCCTCGCGACGCCGGCCGCCGACCCGCGAGCCGCGCACACGGGCGCGCGTGCAGGGGGCTCGGGGGCGACCGCGCACGCACTCCGTTAAGGACAGGGCTTGAAAAATCGCCCGCGGCGCATCAAGTGAGCTCGAGTCAGCTTAAGCGGTCGGCGCGGGGGCGCGGCTCTGCACAAACACCTTGCGGGGGTCACAGAAGTTGATGCCGTTGAAGTCGCAGGCGCCGGCGACCGTGTACGCGCCTGCGTTGCTGAACAGCAGGCAGTCGCCGACGCGCAGCTCGGGCAGGCGGGCGTCCTTGAACACGCAGTCGGCGCTGTCGCAGGTGGGGCCCCAGACGGCGGAGGGGTAGGTCTCGGCGGCGGCGGCGCCGGCGGGCGCGGCGAGGGGCGGGAGGCAGGGGGAGCGGAGGACGCGGAAGGAGGGGTGCTGGTCGTCGTAGAGGATGCAGTTGAATGAGCCGTACAGGCCGTCGGTAATCTGGGGGTGGGGGTGGTTGTAGTGGTGGCGGATGAGAGGCGGGAGCATAAAATAGGGCAGCCCAGGAAGCCATGAAGTGGAGCAGAGGCGGGCATACAATCATTGCGCAGGACGAGGCGAGACCCAGTCTCGCCACACCTAGCCGGGCCGATGCACACGCTGCAGCTGCAGCACCACGGCCCAAAACGCAAGCTGCTGATCTGCAAAGAAGGGCGGGGGCACGGGATGACTCACCCAGTAGTCACGCCGCGCGATCTCGCCATCGGGCGCGCCGTCGACGGTGCGCAGCCGGATGGAGTAAACGGGCGCCACCAGCGTCGCCGCGCTCTCCGCAAAGTAGCGCCCCGGCTCGGAGATGACCTGCAGCCCCGGCCACTCCGCCTCGGGGAAGCACGCGTCCAGCGCGCGGCTGATCGCCGCCGCCGACGCGACGAACGCGGCCGCCGGAGACGCGGCGTGCGGCGCGACGAACCCGCCGCCGACATCGAGGAGCGTCATATCCGTGAAGCCCAGCGCCGCAGCGGCGTCGAAGGCGTCGCGCGCGCGGCGGACGGCCTCGGCATACACCCCATAGTTGCGGACGCCGGAGCCAACGTGGAAGGACACGCCGACGACATTGAGGTTCAGGCGCTTGGCGGCGGCCAGCAGGCCAGGGACCTCGTGGGGCTCTGCGCCATACTTGAGGCCCAGCTGGACCTGTGGATTTGAGGTTGAGGATGTGATAGGAACGGTGTTTAGGTTGTTGTTTGATGAGAAGGGGCGAGCGCGTTTCGACTCGGGGCCGCGATTGAAACCCGGGCGCGCCACGAGTGGGGGTTGGGGGGCGCTGGTGATGGATCTGCCGCGCTGGTCGTGCATGCCGCACTGGGCGGGCGGGGCCGCGGGCTGGATGGGGAACGAGGTCCCGGGTGTGGAGGGCATGCATGCATGCATGTGTGGTATCCCTGCATGCATGCACGCAAGGGTGTGCGCGGTCCCCCAGCGAATTCCCGACCGCACCTGCGCGCCCGCGTCGTCGCAGCGCAGCCGCAACACGCAGCCCGCGCTGGGGTACGCCGCCGCAATCTTGAGGAGCTCGCACTCCGTGTCAAACGTGGTGCGCTCCACCCCCAGCTTGCGCGCGAACGCGATGTCCGCGGGCCGCTTGCAGGGGTTCGCAAAGATGACGCGCGCCGGGTCGACGCCCATCTGGTTGACAACGGCGGCGAGCTCGAGCTGGGAGGCGCAGTCGAAGCCGCAGCCGAGGGCCTCGAGGACCGAGAGGATCGCCGGCTCGGGGTTGCACTTGACGGCTGCGCGGCAGGGGCAGAGGCGGGGGCGGGGACGTGCGGTTGAGAGGGAGGAGGGGGCGGCCGCAGCTGGACGGAGCGCGCATGCCCTGCCAGCGGCGGGAAGCAGCTGGGAGTAGCTGCGCACAGCTGGCCTGTCCAAGGCAAGCCGCACGGCCACAGCGCTCACTGCAGCGGTGCGCCCTAGGGCAACCCGCACAGCGCCGCGCCGCGCCCGCCGCAGCCGCAGCGAGAAGGTCGCTCACCGTAGTAGGGCCTCACGCGGGGCAGCGCCGCGACCCAGGCAGCGTGCATGCGTGCGATCTGTGCGAGATCGTACACATACAGCGTGTCCATGCCGGCCGAGGGGTGCTCCTTGAGGTGCCCGCGCACCGCCGCCGCCACGTCGCCCGGCGCCGCGCTGGGGATGCTGCGCGCGGCGAAGCGCTCAAACACAGCCGCCAGGCCCTGGGGGCCGGGCGGGGGCAGAGGCGCGGCGGTGCCGCAGGAGCCGGCGTCGGCTTCAGCGTCGGCGTCGGAGCTGGCGGCGGGCTTGAGCAGCGCCGCCGCGGCGCCCTCGGGGCCGCTGGCCTCCTCGTCGCCGCCCTCGGGCACGGCGCACAGCGCGCCCTGCTCGCTGGCCGCAGAGTTGGCGTCGTCAGAGCCGCGCTGGCCAGGGGCAGCCGCGCCTACCGGGGCGCTGCCGTCGGAGCAGGGGTCCTCCTGGAACGAGACGACCTGGCCGTCCTCATCAACAACGGTAAAGTTGGACATGAGGTCCACCAGCTTAGCGCTGTAGGTGCAGTGGAGCTTGGGGGCCGAGGTCGGGGGCACGTCGGCGCTGGCGGGGTCGACCGAGCGGCGCTTCAGCTCAATCGAGCGCTTGATGAGGGTGGGCGACGTGGCCTCCTCCGGCATGCGGAGGGGCGCAGCGGTCGTGTTGGCGTCCATCGAGGGCGGACGGGGGAGGGAGAGGGCTGGGGGAGCTGGCGCTGTGGCTGCGGCGGTCACTCGTTCCCTGGGAACTGAGCCTGCGGAGTGGGCAGTGGCGCCGCAGCGGCAGCAGCGAAGCACGGGCGAGCGCACGTGTGAGCACGACATATAAACGAATGGAAAGGCGGGGAAGCTGTCGCGTGCTTGATGTGGTTCGGGACAAGCCCAAGGAGGCGATGGGTGCTGGTTGACCTCGTGCCTGCGCTGCTCGGCTCCGCAACAGGCCGCGCAGTAGCCTCCACCGTATCATGTAAGCCCCCAGGTCCGTTCCGAGCGGGATCGCCCCCAGAAAGCAAGCGGGTTGCCCTCAGAAAACGGCCCTTGGCCTCACGGGCGGCCCCAACGCCCCTGAATCTTGATCCCGGCGCGTAGCTGGGCAGTGGCAGGTTACACAGATCGCGAGCTCTCACCTGATGCACGGGCTGGGCCGCGATGTGATGAACCGCGAGGGTGCTGCCGCCTCTTCGGAGGAGCGAGTCCCAGCTGGCCTTGCGGCCGCTTTAAGAGCTCTATAAGTTGTTGGAGTTGTTCAGGGCATTTGTCAAATGATGCAGGGATGGGCTGCGCAGCGTTCAAGAATCGGGGAGCTGCTTTGCTCCGGCCCCATGGCTGCCGCTCGCGCCATCGGCGGCCAGCCTGGCGCGCTGCCAGCATCCTTTTCCGGCCTCCTGGTGCTGCAAAAAGGTAGGAATAATCAGGAGCGACCTTTTGGTGCCTGAAGACGCGCCTATGCTGCCCTGCCGCCCGAGCGGCATCCGTCCTTAGGCACCCGCTGGGCGGGTCACCGCTTCCCTGCCGGCGCGCTCATCAACGCGCCCGGGCGCGGGCCTCCGCAGCTCCCGCCGCGCCACTCCACCCCAAAAAGCTAGTAATGCGTCCATTACACCACTGCGCGCGCGCGCTGAGGCCCCCGAGGCAGCCGGCGCGGCACTGCGGGCCGCCGGCCCTTGCTTCCATGCGGCCGCGGCCCCTCGCAGGTCCCCTCCACACGTCGCCGCCGCCGCGTGTCATCCTTTGACCGCGGCTTGACCGCCGTCCCCGCCGCCCCTCCTGCCAGCCAATCGACCATCCTGGCGCACCGCGCCCTCCGCTCGCGTCCGCGCAAGCGGCCGCGTGCACGCACGGTCGCACGGGCAGCTGCCGCGCAGCTACGTCCGGCCGCGCGTGCGGATGTCGGACGCGAGCCGCTTGTCGCGCTCCAGCTCGTATTCCCGCAGCTCTGAGCGCTTCAGGAACTCCTGCCTGTCCAGGTACTGGGCCCCGCTGCGCTTGTGGGCCTCCAGCTCCTCTTCCACCTCTGGGTGGGTGCAGGCACACGCGCACGATTGCAGTGTGTGTGTTGGTGTGTGTGGGTGTGTGTGTTGGGTTGTGTGTGTGTGTTGGGTTGTGTGTGTGTGTGTGTGTGTGTGTGTGTGTGTGTGTGCGCGCGCGTGCACGCGCATGTGGGTGCATGCGCGTTGCACGATCGAGGAGTCGTTGGACATTGTGCAGGTGTGGATGCCCGCGAACGCGCAGTTGGCACGTGCATGTGAGCATATGGATGCATGCATGTGTGCGCATGGGCGCATCCATGTGCTGCAGTGGTGCAGCCTTGCAAAAGGCCCTCGTGCCGGAGACGGCCGCGTGCGCGGGCTGCGAGGGGCGCGCCCACGGCTTGCCTGTGTTGGTCGATTTGTAGTCCTGCCAGTCCATCTTGGTCTTGTCCAGCACGTTGACCTATGGGATTGATAGGATAAGCGTGCGATCGCAATTGAAATTTTGATTGACACGGCGCAATCGTGGTGACCGACGGAGCGTCAACAGGGCAGGGTGGGGGATGATGCGCGCGTGCATGTGTGCCGTTGCACAGGATGAGCGGCGCGCGCGGCGGCGAACAACGCATGGATGAGGGATGAGACGCACGCATGCGCCGCGAGCACGGGCGGGGGCAGCGTAATCATGGGACCACCCTGCAAGGCGGCCGCACAGGGACACGCTGCATGTGTGTGTTACGGGCGCCACACGCCCTCGAATCTCCACCCCCGTCCCCTGCCAGCCGGCCGCGGCCCCACCTTTTTCTTCTTCTCGATCTCCTGCAGGAACTTGTCCAGCCCCGTGTCTCGCGCCGCGCCCCGCGCCGCCGCCTTTTGCGCCGCCTTGCTGCCCGCCTCCACGTGAAGCTTGACCTCAATGTCCTTCCCCGCAAACCGCCGCGTCTCGACCACTGTCACTTTGTTGTAGCTCTTGGCCACGCCGAGCGACGCGGCCTCCTTGGCCGCCGCGAGCGCAGCCGCCGCCGCCGAGCGCGCGT